GCAGATCAACACTCCCACCCAACCTGGTGTCCTTTGCAAACTTACTCAGGGAGTTAAGATAATCTCCCTGTAGGTAATGGAAGGGGCTGTTAGCTGCCCCTGGAGCCCCGTCCTTGCAGGGCAAGTGCTCTAGCTCCCACCACCTCAGGGGCCTCCACTGAACTTGCCTTTCCTGCCAACTAATGACTCTCAGGGCACTAGCATGGGGACCCGGTTCCTTAACAATCTTTTCAGACATCTCTTCCATCTACTTTCTTGCCCTTCCATTAAAGCAGCAGCACCCATCTTCAGTACCAGAGCTTCCAGCAGTTCCTTCATAAGGCTGTATGAAAGGACAAAGCAGTGTTCCCCATTTTACAGAAGTAATTTCTAATTTTTCAGCTGTTCTCTAGGAAGACAAAAATGTTACTAACCAGACAGCTCTACACATACACATTTTGCAATGTCTCTTATCCTAAAGAAGAGTTCAACAGGGAAACGGAGACAGCAGGTGACATCAGCACCGCAGCTAGGGAGGAGGAGGAGAGATGACAGAGGTGTCAGGACAAGCACCACCTCTGACAGACGCCCTTTCACCAGCAGAAACACCCCATACTTCCCTGCATCATGCTCATCAGGGAGGCAAAGCACTACTGGGCTGCATGACCCACCCCAGCACAAGATGCTACAGCGTATTTCATTAAGCAATTAGTTGCACCTAACTATTTAGAAGTGTGGATTATTATTATTACTGTTAGTTTAGCTTACTTTAATCTTCCATCAAAGTACGCGGGAGTTCCAAGAACAATCGTTTTAATGAAGAAAGGCTGATTCGTGTGGTTCTCCTCGTAGCCACCGACAATGCTGAAACCCCAGCTCCCTAAATTGCTCCGCCGCAGTACTACGTCATGGCAGCTATGTAGGCAGCTGTGGAATGGAAGCACAGTATAGCAAGAGAAAAAGCCATGTATACCATATATAGATATTTTTATAGTAGGCACAACACCTGCTGTCTCATCATTACCACTGTGATAAGCGTGGAAGAGAATGAGAGGGATGGTGATTAGACTTCTGTCCTCAAACAAGAGTAATTTTGCAATATTCAAACCAATTACCAAAAAACCTCACAATCTTGAGACAGAAATGTGTTCTAAAAGAAATAGTGCAGTGCTAGAATAATTACTTAAACACAGTTAAATCTGTAAACTGACAGTAATAGAATGGCATTTCAGGGATTTCATAGGTGGCAAGAATGTGGGTCAAAAATGGATACCCAATGTGTTTAGTTTGCAAAAATGCAGTGCATTTTTCTTCCACCCCCAGCCAGTTTAGGCTTTTTTTACTTTAAGTAAAGATTTAAAAATCCATGCATCATCTTCTCTACCTCTGAACCAGTAATGAAAATATAAATGATTAACCATTTTATTCCATATCATGCTTCCCTAACTGTACTCGTATATGTTATCTCCCCCAGTGAAAATTAATTCTTGCCAGTGAATTTGGTAATGACTGTAATAAAAAAAAAACCCCAAACAAACAACAAAAAACAACATAGAAATTAACTTTTGGGTAAAAAAGATGCCAAGTTCTTTACTGATGTGCAACATTCCTTTAAAGGATAGCAGCACAGTGCATAACGTAACTTTAGGAGCCATGCATGGGCATCTGTAGTATATAAGCAATAAACCACTGCTGAAGCATGGAAAGGAAGTACATTTGTACATTTACCAAAACTGCCAGCTGTTTACTGAGATGAGGTAACTCATTAATACTTGAATGGAAGAGAAATTAATTGATAGTAAAACTCAGAAAATTAAATGAAAAAGCGTGAAATCTTTGGAGGGTCAATGCATGGTTCTGTTATCTTCAACTGCAATTCTGCTACCAATATGCCTGGTTCTTGTTGTGGTTTTATGTTTAAACTACAGACCTGAGCCCGAGGAATTAACCTGCATGCCCTGACTGAAGTTAATAACCCTATTTGCTGTAGTGGGATCTCTTCTTCATAGCAAGCAGGGCCAGAATGAGCTTATAGCTGTAGCCACAAGACAGTAAAAAACAGAAGAGTAAAAACAAAACGTGGTGATGTCCAGCAGAGTGCAGATTATTAGTCAAGGGGAGGGAGCTCACTGCAAATCTTGGAGAGTTTCTGTGATTGGCAGAGATGGTAGTGGGTTCTTGAAAGAAATGCATGAGAATTTGTACCTGTGGGCGTGTACATGTGCAAGAGACTTGTGTGAAAGTCTGTGAGAAGGGCAAGTCTGATTCAATATTTTGAAGTTGTGTATTTGGCCTCATAAATTTAGGCACTGAATTAGCAAAGAGACACGTGGGTCAATACTTTCTGTTTTTATTAGTAATCTCTCTGGTTTTAGATATTCTACAGGAAGTTACGATATGGTTAAGCAACAGAAAAGATGATGTGTTCAATGAGAAGAATCCATGTGGGTAGTTACTACCATTTGTGAAAGGATAAATCAAGTCTATTCATTTTTCAGTTTCCTAAGAAAACATCGCTCCTGTTCACAGTCCTCCTCCTAAGCACACTGAATAGAGCTGAGATGGTCAGTCAGGCAGAAATAAGGGCAGATGTGCTGCAACTAATAAGGTCTCTGCTTTTGTCCCTCTCTCAGACTTACCTTAAAACAGGTCACTAATTACTTTATCAATTAATTCCGTACCTTGGAAGTCCCAGCCACATGACCCATGATGGTGACCAACTGGCATCGTATTCATTTTCACTGACGGTACTCAATTGTTCTTCATTAGCCTGGGGTTGTTCTTCTACAACCTGGACTTCCAGGGCTTTCAGGGCGACTACCGAAGAGGCAGCACTAGCTTTCAGCATGGCCACCGCCTCGCTGTGACTTAGGTTAGTCAAATCGATGCCGTTGATGTTCAGCAGCACATCACCTGTTCAAAGGCATGAGTGAGAACACATCAGTCTGCCAGAGTCACTGCTACCGACAGCACCTCCCACACCAGGGTTTCACCGAGTACTGTATTTTTTGGAGCTGAGACAGTCTGAACTAACAGCCTGGGAATGTGAATAGCTCAGAGGCCTTATACTGTCAGTTTGAAACATTAATGTATTGAACTATTAAGCTGGATCAGTATCATTTATTTCTACATAAGACATCACATGCTGTGGCTTCTATGGTATACTGCCCTGAAAACTTGAGGCAGAAATTACCCAAGCACCTCACCATCTTCTCTGCAACTGCTATTGCAGATGCCAGCATATAATCGTTTCCAGTGGTGGATCTTAGGTCCACCTTAACTTTAAAAGCGAAGGAAGAATGATGGAAGGAACAATACAGGCACCAAAAGTAACCAACTCTTGTAGATAAGTGAGGCTCCACAGAGTGTTTTAGGTCTTCTGCTTTTTCTAGCTTGTTAGTCGGGAGAACAAAATGGAATTCAAAAGCTACTGGAAAGGTTGATACAAAAGGAAGTCCATTAGAAGAAAGAGCGAGCATCTCTACAAAGATAATCTTGAAAGAGCCAAAGCCACTAAAAGAATTGCCACAATTTTTATTTTATTTCAGAATAGTTTTTAAAAGCCTCAGAATGAAAACAAGAATGTTATTAACTGTTCAAGCAGTGTCAGTCTCCTCTTTCACACAATGTCTCACTTACCGATGAAAGCCAGAAAAAACAAAGCAAAAGTGCGAACACCTGGGTCACGTTTGGAACAAGATTCATTTTTTAAAAGCTTTTTCCCCCAGGGAAAGCTAAAGCTGAGGTGCAGCTTAACTTGAAATCACTTTTGTTGCTGCTGTGGCCACTTTCATGTTACACAATGAAAGAGCAATTGTGATTTTTCTATCAAGTGTGTTTTTCAGAGAAGTACAGAAAAAGCGAGCATACCCGTTGGTATGTGGGTGTAAAACTCGCTCTCTCAGAAGCATATAAGGATGCTCCCACACTGTTTAAATTTGCAATCTGTGAAGGTTTTTTCCTAAACTTCTTTCCTAAAACAATCTGTAATTCTGTGAACTCTGAATCACAGAGACCCTCTAGGCAGTCTTTGTTTCACATACGACACAATACGTTTTAATCATCAAATGCTTTGCTATCGATCAGGCAGGACTGCCTTCACCTACACCGAGTCTAACCTCCACCTCCTGGTTCCCTTCTGCAAAGCCGAGGAACAAGGATGGGTGCTGTAGCACCCTTGAAGACTGGCAAACCCAGAGAATAAGAAAGCATTCAGGAACCAGGGTCAACACTGACGTAGCTTTGGGGGTAAACTTAGCTGTGGCCTGTCATCAGAGCATCTCTGCTGTTCAGATACTACACTGAGGAGCAGAGGTTCCTCTGGGGATAGGGCCCAGGCCACCAAATCAAACACAAAAACAGGATGCGTGCACTGCAGCACAAAGCATCGCACCAGATCCTCAGCTCAGGGGATTACCGTCAGCTTTAAAGAATTTAACCAGACATTTCCTGGTCTTATCCGCTTCCCCTGCTATCATTCTCTAAACATCCCTTTCCTAGAAAAGGTGGAAGCGCGATACAAAATACTCTGTCTCCATTATTGAACCATGAAGGTAAGCATCCATCAGTGCTTCCCTACATCTGTGAAAAGGCTTTTTGACACCATCTGACTCCAGAGAACGTACTCATCAAACAGCAATCAGAGGCCACTCCTGCCACCAGGAAAGCCAAGCCCCACCTTGTTTAATCCTGCCGTCTCTTGCCAAACACCCGTGAGGCTGTACACTTGTCACGAAGATGGGCAGTTCGCCACTTTTGCTGCCTCTGCCTCCTGCCACTGTCATTCCCAGAGATTCATGTGGCTCTTTTTTCACAGTAATGTGTTTTTCTTGGCATGTAACGCACTGGGAGAGATCCTGTTTGAGAAGGATAAATAACATTATTAAAACTTTAAAAAAAAAAAAAAAGAGAGAACAAAACACAACTAAACACACCCCGAAGCTATACTTTGGCACTTCAACACTTCAACAGAATAGTTTAAAAGGACTAAGTAGTGCGAATTGGCTTCAGCTGGATTTCCTCCAGGTCAGGGAAAAAAAAAACCACAACAACCCAAACAAAAAAAGCCACTGATACTTAAACATAGACAGAAAGTTTATAAAGGCCCATCTTGAAAATCTCACTCCAGTTTTCCTTAGCATCTTACACTGGAATAGGCTAATTTTTAGGACTGCACTACAAAACCATATGGGAGTGGACACAAGCTAGAAATAAATCTTTTGATGCCTTGGTGAACATCAGCATTACTTCATTTGTCAGTAGAATATGGCCCAGAACTACAAAGAAGCTCCTAAGAAATGAAAACACATATGTTCTCATGTCGATGAAGAGACACTTTTTAAAGTCCTTATACGTCATGTTTTCTTTTGCAGCTGGTATGTAGCATCTCCTGGAGCACAAAGTAACCAAGGCCAATCAGTGCTATAGGCTGGTAATGGGTGCCTTATGCAGACTCCCTAATGATCACAACAAAGACCCAAACTTGAAGCAAGAAGAGATCCTGTATGTCATTTCCTAACACCTGAATTATGAAGTTTAGCCCGTACTTAGTTTTGCCCCGTCAAAGGATCTAAACCTGAATCAAAGTATGTTTTAGTTGGTGAAGCTCTTCCTCTTCAGGATATTTAACGATACGTTCAAATCACTGCACACATACCTATACTAGCATCTTAAATCAACAGAATATTTGCAAGGAATCCAAAATAACAGAAGAAATAACCTGGGAGATTCTTCCAACTACAAATACTTATTTATTCCTCTGCCTTCTCTTGGAAAATGGCTTTCTTCGACTTCCAGTGACACGTGTTCCTTCTGACTCACTCTGCTCCTCGCATACACATGTTAATCACAGATGTAGCTATATGTATACATACCATAGCTTATAAAGATAGCTTCTTCTTAAGTCTTCAGACTTTAGGACTAACTGGCTGGTTCCATTCAATTATACAAACATTTTTTAAGTTACAAGACTACTAAGCCAACTGTAGGTTAATAGGAGAGAGGTAAAGATAAATGGTATGACACGTGGGAACCGTTCACTTGCGGTTACATGGGACTTCCCACTTTGAAAGAGCCCGTGGGTGGTATTGATATGTGGGGGAAACCAGGTCAACCAACAGATCAACTTTGGAACTGTGATATGAACACAACCCATGCTGGCAGGTGGAAAATGGGTTCAAGCTCTGACAGAGATGAGCTGTAATCATTGTTGATGTTAGGCCTAACGCTGTGGCAAGTATTAACATTACAGTATTATGTGGCCTAACGTTGTAGCAAGTACTAACAGCCGCTAACTGTGTTCAGGAGCCTCACCTTTGTCCCTCAGGAGGAAAACAAGCTTCTTAAGAATAAGCGAGGCTCTTTCTGAAATTGTCCAAACTTTCCGAAGAAAATACTATCAACACATGTAAAACCTCCCAACAGAAGTAGACGTTAAACAGTGATGCCAACAGAGTGGACAGGAGGAAAGGTGGCTTGGTTGACACAGTCAACACAACAATTATTTCACAAAATCAACTTCTCAACAGTGACAAATCATATTTTTCTAACTACAAGAACATCTCAAGCACAGGATTTATTTCTGCAGGTCTTCTAGATAATCTGACACTAGCTTCATGAAAGTCTCTTCGTTCTGCCTTTCTCTCCCAGCTTGACCCTACAGAACTCAGTAGTCTTGCAGCCAGCACTGCTGGCTCACGGAGGAGATGACACATCCCTCCAACATGTTCTTTGTAAGCTGGATGGTGAGCACCACATCTCCCGTCCTTGCACAGCAGCAACAAAAAATAATCCTCTTGAATGATATTCAAGATGAAGAAGATATAACCCCTTCTTTAATCTTGCCTTGCTACACACTTAGACCATCACAAGACTAAAAACGCATTTATACCTCCTCAAATGAGAAACACCAACCTTATGTGAGTTGGGTCTGCTGTGCAACAGTTGTTGGGACTGGTGTTGGTGTGAGTTGCTGTTGTGAGTCCCCGTGTCTCGGATAATACTGACTGTCTGTGACTTCAGGGGTCTAGAGATGATCAAATTCACTCTCTCCCCACTAGCCTGTTGAATATATAAAACAAAGTAATGAAGTTGATAGGACGTTGATTATTAGCGGGGCGGGGGAAAACGTAGATGAAATATGAAAGAACACGACAGCAGCATTGGTTTTCCAGTTCCTGAGGGTGCCACAAACTTCTTAGACTGTACATTCCCTTACTTGCTTCTTGCTGCAATTCCCCCTAGAACAGAGGGAATATTAACGTTCCTGCTTTTCCCCTGGTGTTACATATGTATCAGCTGGAAATCCTTTGCCAAAAGGACTGTTTCTCACTTTGTGTTATAAAGCTTCAAACATTAAAAATCACCCAATTCCATTTGCAGCCTCCGCAAACTTCTGCAACACATAGCAATAAAGAAATGCCCACATGATGGCTTCATGGTCTGCAAGTTTTGATCAAAAGCTCTGAAAACCTCTGGTATTTCCCAAAGAGACTTCCAAGAAATATGGTATATATGAGCAGACCATCAAATTCTGGAGTTTGGTGAATATCACGAAACTCAGACACCAGATGTTAAATGAAACATCAACTCTATTGCCGCAAAAGTACACCTCAACAGAGAGAAGTTACCCAGTGTAAAATTCTGACCACTTCACTGTATCCAAAAACTGGGAAACTGAAATTATGATCCCCAAGATCATTGTTATTTTCCTTTAACTGCGATGGAAGCTCTTAAAATTATACCTGAAACGAATATTTACTACTCATTTGTATCACAGCTCTCTGTGTGGTGCTGGGTTAAGCAAAGATGACTGTGCTAGGCTGCAAGAACCTACTATTGGTCTATTCCAACTTTCCTAAAAGAAGAGCAATTTT